CAGACAGACAGACAGACAGACAGACAGACAGACAGAACGCAGAAACACAAACACCCAAATACCCAAACACTACATAAACACAGTCACATACACACACACACACCACAAACAAAGGAAGGAATGAAATGAGGAAACACAGACAAGCACACACGGACACACATACACAGACACACACACACACAACCACGTGGGCACAGACAGGAAAAGACATCAACAGGCACACACACACACCCACACGCACACACACACACACCCACACACACACACAACCCACACCCACACCCACACCCACACCCGCACCCACACCCACACCCACACCCACACCCACACCCACACCCACACCAACACCAACACCAACACCAACACCAACACCAACACCAACACCAACACCAACACCAACACCAACACCACACCACACCACACCACACAACACAACACCAACACCACACAACACAACACAACACAACACACACAGCAACACACAGCAACACACCGTTCGGGCGTTGGCTTCTGAATCCTGGGCATTTGACCCCGTCCCCTAGGCCCCGGGCCGTTGCTTTGCGATGTGCCTTGAGTTTCAGCTCCCCGTGGGGCAGTTGGGCTGCCAGGGTCGAAGGAGTCGAAGGCCTCCTGGTCGGCCACCCTCGGCCCCGTGCCTGGCCCCCCATTTCGAACACCAACAGGGTGGTAGCAGAAAAAGCGAAAGTTCGGAGAGATCCGCTATGTTTCTTCTCTCATTTTGCGAAGGTGTTAAAGGAGGAAATTGGGCACCTCCGTGGAGTTGCACGGACAAGGGCGTGCGTACCCATGGTTGTTTGCGGACGGCTCAGAGGGACCCTTGCGCCCCCCTGCTGCCTGTGGACAACTCAGTTGTGGGAAGTTGCCACACGCCGAGATGTCTTTCTGAAGTCTGCAATTGAGACTCAGAGGGTTCAAGGCCCGCGATTAAAGTCCAAAGAGAGCTTCAGAGAGACACACAGAACCATATTTGCAAGGTCATAAAATAAGATGCGGTTGGATGGAAGTGGATGGCACATGTTCAGCTATGTCTTGGTACATTGACGCGCTGGTGAACAACAGACGGGTGAACCTGGCCATCTGCTTCCACCCAGACTGTCGGAGCAAACAAAGTGCTTTCTCGCCTGCTTCCTTTCGGGCCACTTGGCCCAAACTGACCCATGGCCAACCCACCCACCTTCTGATCAACCATCTGGGCCAGTTGCCATGATTCAAAGGAATGGGGGAGCCCATTCTGAGGGGACCTCCATGAAACTACCAAGCTCGTTTTACCCTCGGGCTAACCCATCAAGCCCCTCGACCGTCGCGCCTCCGGCTCTGTGTCGACGGCCTGGCAGATCCAGAGAGGCTCACAGAGGGTTCCAGAATCTCCAAAACTGAAAGTGAGGGTATGCCATCATTACAATGGAGTTTACGCCGACCAACCGTTAAGGCTCTTCCAACCGTGAAACATGGCCCAGAACACATGCAGCTGTATAGAATCTTTTTGCAATGCAGCTTGGCAGGCCCCCCCCCGGCCCCGATTCATGCAATTACCTCAGGACCTGACCACTCCTCAAGCAAAGGAGTGGCAAGCATCCATGTGCATCCCCAAAGTGCCGCCACGCGCAGCTTTCACAGCGCAAACCCAATCAACAAAGCAAGCTTACAATATCTTGCAAGCTTCTACTCCGGCTTGCGACTTGGACGCTCAATCAAAGCCAGGGTCAAAACTAGGTTGTTTTTCCCCGTAATGGACATGGCACAATTTGTGCGTCTCCCTGGCGCTTGAGAGAGTCCCCCATGTCCTGTCCAAATGGAAGATAGACAATTGACTTCTCAGCGATCTCCGCTCTCAGTCAAGCGCGCACGAGAGACCAACTCCCTGGGGGCTGGCTGGCCGTCATGCTCACCCTGCCAGGTAGTCAGATTCCAACACCCCCACCTCAGCTTTCTAACCCGGTGGCTATTTTCCCTACAAAAAAGCTCGACCTTGGTCGGTCAATGAGAAACACGGGCATTTTCCGACACAAAGACTAGAGGTCCAACCAAGTCGGACTCATGTGCTTAGATGCACGGGGCCAGTACGGGGTCGATGCGGTTAAGTCAATGATTTGTTCACTAAAGATCCGCAAGTAACTGCCACAGCTTCAGAAAGCTCAAAGCCAGCATGTTCCAGCGGCCTTCATGAGCTAGCGACAGGTACGTCCATACCTATTGCCAATGGCCTACGTGAATCGCCAACGGCCGTGCTCATCTAGACATCGACCTCCCTGAAACAGATTCGCCCTGCGTTCGAGGCCGCACCTGCCCGTTTGGCATGGGCCCTTCCGGCCCTTCTGCGTGCACCTGGGATGCGCTGAGGCAAGGAGGGCGTCGACGCCAAACTGCCTCATGCTCGTGGAGTCAAAACGGACCATGCTGGGCTTGACTCAGCTGCTTGCTCCGAACAGATCCAATCTGGGGATGCTGCCGTTAAAAAAGCAGGATGGGACAATCTCTTTGAGGCCTCAGAGTCTGAAAGTACCACTGAGTATATCATGGCATTTCACGGCTGCATGCCAAAGCGCACCCAGTAGCCAAAAAAGCAAATCAGCACGAGTCATGAGTCCAGGTCCTGTGACTGGAACTTGGGCAGTCAACAACATGTGCTAGACCGCTTGTTGTCTTTCATCTTGCGGCAAGGCAAAGCAAGTGGAACAGGTGGGACACGGCGACTACCGCACCGAAGGCCGTGTGATGTATGGATGGGGTAAGCCTCCTTTGGCGATCGATGGCTTCTGCTTGATTTGCGTCCATGATGTAGCTTCCCTTGATTGGGACTGAGCCTATTTCATTAGAACCCACTTTAATCAGATGGAAACTGGACAACCGCAAGTCACAAACATTGGCTTTAGACAAGCGAGGTTCTCTTGAGTAGCCCGGGTGTGGGCCCCAAAGAAACAGTGATAATTAAACATGACAACGGGCCACATTGGGGCTTCCCATTTGCCCGGCGCTCAGCAGCTGACATCCAAGCCATTCATCACACCTGGCTCCGCCAAAAAGTGCAGGCTCGACGGAAACGTCCGCTTGGGATTCAACGCGGCTGTTGATGAGGATTCTAGGCCACCGTATCGAAAACAGGCATGTATGGTTCTTCCGGTTCACCAACAAGAAGAGGCCTAGTGCGTGCAATTCAAAAAATATGTGTTTAACAGATCCATCTGCTGCAAGTTAATCCTGCAAAATGCGGCAATGGCAAGCCAAGTTTGATCCATCCATTTCATGATAGCACACCCATCGCAGCTCCCCGATGGGATGGTTTGAACAAAGGAGCCCAAAGAAAATGCGGCTCCGAGTTCTCCCCCCCGACAAAGGCACCTAGATCCTTCAAGGCCTTTGGCACATTTGCGCTTTCCGTCTGTGATCCCCTTGCCGGTCTCGGATTTGTCGCATTTCACATCCGGGGTGCGAAATGTGACATCTCCCGACTTTCCATTCTGAAGCTTAAGCCAACCAAAACGGTCTGGTGGCCGCCCGCTCCTGTGATCCGGCAGCTTTCGTCACAGCGAACTGGTTTCGAAGTGAACCCAAGGCACAGGGACCACTTCGGGAGCCCTTCCTCAATCCAAAACCCAATCGGCCCCGGCGAAGATCGGGGGCCCACAAGCGACAAGCCAAGCAGGGCGCGCCCGGCGGCGGTGCGCTGGAGTCCTGGCATGCCACCTTGACAGGGGCAGTTCTCATGTACCACGGTCCATGGGCAAGATTATATTACCATTCAGGTGAGGGGCAATTCAGGTGCCACTATTAGAACAACTACCCCTCACAAATTGTTGAATGGCTTCAAACTATACTTGGTATTACCCAAAAGGGAGTATAGGGCAAAAGTCATTTGGGGTATGTCCACAAGGCTATACGATCCAGCCTCAAGATTTTCGGTACGCACTGTATTAACTCCTTTTTAGGGAGAGTGGTATGTCAGGGTGTGCCTGCTCGAGACTATGCCAACTAAACAACAAGCTTGGCAGTACTAGAAAGCCACTTTTACTCGGCTTAAAAGTCGCACGTGTGCTGCGCAACAACTAGCAATAATTGCAGCAATAGTGATACACCAGGGCAAAGCAAATGCACGATTCCCAAGCTTCTGTCGGCAAGTAAGAGGGATGATAAAACCAACATGGGGCATTTGTGCCCTCTACTTTTACCCAACTGAACAAAAGCAACAATAATGTACAATGGTCAAACACCCTCATAAATGATCACCATTTTAAAAAAAATGGCGGCCCACTACTTTTCGTCGCCCCTTTCGTCCTTCTCTCCTTTTTGCGAGCGCAAGACCCGAGTTTCCGCTCCTGGAGGTCCGTGGGCTCCTGCGAGAGATACCCGCCCGACACCTCGGATCCATGAAGCACCAGCTGGGACGGGTGACGGGTTTGTGTCAGTATTCATAGCGATTCCCAGAACTCGTGCAGGATGTCATCCAAAGATTGGCCACGGAAGGGGGCAAGCAGAATAGAATGCGCAAAAGACTCCCAACATGAATTTGGTCCGCTGCACTGTTGTTTGAGCGGCTTTGTTCATGGCGCCTTTCTGAAAAAAAGCCTCCTTGCCAACTTGGTTTGCCGGCTCCGCTTGGCAACTTGGAGTACATCTAGGATTGTTCGCCCGGCCAATGTTGTGTGACAAAAGTTCGAACAACCGTGAACGGCAGTGACAGGAATAAGGGTAAGTGTCACTGCGGGAGGAAACCACGTCCTTTACGTCCAGCTTGTTCAGCATGTTCTTGATTTCCACATTCAATTTGAGCCACATCAACCGCACGCAGGCGCAACACCTTCAAAAAGGGTGTGACGTTCCAGCATGTGACTATTGCATCCAGCACACATGCAACCAACAAAGACACAGGTGTCCAGTGCCGGTGCAGAGTTTCAATCGTTCAGCAGCCGAACCACATGCTCAAATGCAACATGTTGCGTGCAATGCCACACAACTGCTGGCGATAGCTACCATCCAGCATGTCCTTTGGACATGCCTTGACAGCACTGCGCAAGACCAACATTGATCAAAACAATTCAAAGCAATTAACATCAAGATCACATCTACATCAATCAAGCAAGCCACCAACCAATCCAGCCAAGCTTGCAAACCGCCACCACCCCAACCAACCACGCAACCAAACGCATCAGTTGAATCCCAAACTTTCAGCGCTGGGGCTGCCACCCGTTGGCTCCAGGAGGGGCATGCCTCGAAATCAAACTGCTCCAGAGAAAAGAAAAAAAAAGAAGCTCCTCTGCTTTCAGCGGGTTCCGAACCCCTCCTGAACAAGGAACGGGCTGTCAAGGGTCACCATCGTGAGCGCCCTGCTTTGACGCTTTACAGAGTAGCTCTATACAAGTTTATACAAGCCATGGACATCACTTCCCGAATGGGATATTTGGAACAATTGGCTGGTCCCTCCAGGTCCTCCTTGAACCAACATCCAACAAAAGACCATCAATCATGCTGATGTTGCTTGTGCGAATGGACACAAGCTAAAGGTCATAGAGATGGTTTGGGCCTTGTCTTTGCGTACCTTTGCTTGTCTTTACTCATTTCACGAACAGTGGCGTGATGCCTACGCGGCAAAACAGCCATCCATTGGCCGTTTCCGAAGGCTTCCAGCTGCTAGAGCTGGGGCTTTGGTTCATGAGGATTGTGTAGGTGCCTGACCTTCTGTGCGCAAACAGCTGGTAACACCTATCTGAGCCAGTTTCGAGACAGCCATGTAAGAGAAAATGTATATTGTCGAAATGGAGAAGAGAGGGAAAGAAACACGTTCGCGAGAAGTCAACTAGCGCGAAAGCCGCAAGCAGTCCCCCAGGAACACACCCCAATCAGCATTTCGACGCGTTCCCTCTCGATTGGCACAGAAGCAGCTTGGTCTGTTGCCGGAACTCATTCTCCGATTTGAGTGACAAGCGCCAAAAATCCACGAAGCCAGGTCAGAAAAGTTAGCCAAGCCCCCACTAGACACCAGTGCACCAGAGTTCTGGTAAACTTCCTGTAGATTTCCCTGTAGCTGGTCTTTAAAAAAAAGGAAACACTGCCCAAAGCCCGTTAACACTGATGTCTGAGCCCGGCGCCGCGCTTTGCTCAGTTGCCTCTTCTTTTTCCTGGCGGGTCCGCTATAATGTTGCACGATGCAGCTTCCCACCTCCTACTGACTCCACTCCCGGCAAAGGCACCATGGTCTTCCAACAATGTTGCCGGTGTCCAACAAACGGCTGTTGGTGCCAGCACTGCAAGCTTCTTGAAGCAATCTTGGCCGTCGTTCTGAATGCTGAACAACAAACACAGGTTGTCCAAGGAGATGTGTCGTCCACTTGTTGAGTTGTCAAATCGAGTGTCAAACTTGCCCTTTGGTTCATACCCTGAGGCACCCACCCGCTGAGACCTCGGCATGGGAACACGCCGACGCGCAACAAAAACAAGACAGAGCCCACGAACCCGAATGCACATCACTTTGCGCAAACCCAAGAATATACTTAGAGAGAACATTTTTCGGTATAAGCCAATGGGGCTCGCAATCAAGCCTGCTGCGCAAACTATGTTTTTCAGCTTGTAAAGCTGTACTTTGCGTGCTCCACTTGTTGGTCCAAAGCTACGACTTTCAATCTGGAGCTGGACACCTGCGCTTCGCGCGCTAGACTTGTACTACAAAGTTGCGATCTTCCAGCCCGGAGCTGGAAAACTGTACTTCGCGCACTAGACTTGCGCTACACAGCTGCGATCGTCCAGCTAGAGCTGAAAACCTGTACTTTGCGTACTGGACTTGTGCTACAAAGTTGCGATTTTCGAGCTGGAGGTCAAAACCTGTACTTCGCGTACTATACTTGCACTTCAAAGTTGCGATCTTGCAGCCGGAGCTGGAAACTTGTACTTCACGTACTACACTTGCACTACAAAGTTGTGACTTTCCAGCTAGTGCTGGAAACCTGCACACTTCGCGCGCTAGACTTGTACTTCAAAGTTGCGATTCTCCAGCTAGAGCTGGTGCTACAAAGTTGCGATTTTCCAGCTAGAGCTGAAAACCTGTACTTTGCCTACTAGACTTGTGCTACAGAGTCGCAATTTACCAGCTGGAGCTGGAAACCTGTACTTCGCGCATTAGACTTGTGCCACATTCCAGCTAGAGCTAGAACCCTGTACTTCGCGTGCTAGACTTGTACTACAAAGTCGTGATTTTCCAGCTAGAGCTAGAAGCCTGTACTTCGCGTCTAGTACAACCAAGTCGCGATTTTCCAGCTGGAGCTGGAAGCCGGTACTTCGCGTACTAGACTTGTCAAAGTTACGATTTTCCAGCTAGAGCTGGAAACCTCTTCGTGCGCCAGGCTTGTGCTACAAGGTTGTGGTTTCCAGCTAGAGCTGGACTTCGCGTACCTCTGCTTCGCGTACGAGACTTGTACTACAAAGTCGCAATTTTCCAGCTGGAGCTGGAAGCCTGTACTTTGCGTATTAGACTGGTACTACAAAGTTGCGATTTTCGAGCTGGAGCTGGAAACCTGTACTTCGTGCACTGGACTTGCGCTTCAATGGTGATTTTCCAGAAACCTGTACTTCGCGCGCTATACTTGTGCTACAAAGTTGCGATTTTCCAGCTAGAGCTACTTCGCGCGCTAGACTTGCACTACAAAGCTGCGATTTCACAACTTCTGATTGGCACTTCTGAGCGACACTTTTGAGCGACACCTGCGTGATCAACACTTCTGATCCACACTGCTCATCGACACTTCTGAACGGCACTTGAATTGACAGTTCTGAGCGACACTTCTGAGCAACACTTCTGATCGACACTTTTGAGGAACCCTTCTCATCAACGCTTCTGAGCAAAACTTCCGACCCACACTTCACATTGACACTTCTGAGCGACACTTTTGAGCGACGCCTGATCAACACTTCTGAACCACACTTTTTCTGATCGACGCTTCTAAGCAACACCTCTGAGCGACACTTTTGCTGTTCAACTTTTCTGAGCAACACTTCTGATTGACACTTCTGAGCGACACCTGAGCAAGACTGCTGAACCACACTTCTGATTGACACTGATGAACAACACTTCTGATCCACACACTTCGCATCGACAGTTCTGAGCAACACTTCTGACCAACACTTCTGACCCACACTGCTCTTCTGAACGAGCAAAACTGCTGAATTGACACTTCTGAGCAACACTTCTGAGCAACACTTCTGATCGACACTTCTGATCGACACTTTTGAGCAACCCTTCTCATCAACACTTCTGAGCAACACTTCCGACCCACACTTCTGATCGACACTTTTGAGCGACATTTCTGTCAAACACTTCCGAGCAACACTTCTGAGCGACAACACTTCCAACCGACACTTCCGAGCAACATCTTTGAGCAAGACTTCTGATCTACACTTCGGAGTTTCACTTATGAGCGACACTTCTGAGCAACACTTCTGAGCAACACCTTGTGCGACACCTCTGATCGACACTTCTGAGCAACACTTCTGATCGGCACTTCCGAGCAACACTTCTGTTGACACTTCCGACCGATACTTCTGGGCGACACTTTTGATCGACACTTCTGAACTATAATCGACACTTCTGAACGACACTTCTGTCGCGCCACAGCGGCGGTTCGACCCAGACAAAGCTCGCACAGGGTTCACCTTGCGCGCTCAAAAACCGCGCCACAGCGAGAGCGATTCGACCCACCCAAAGTGCGCAGAGGGTTCGCTTCGCGTTCGCAAAATGTGCAAGGCGCCACAGCGAGAACGATCTCGCTCAGTCAAAGTGACGTGCTTGCCACGAAAGGTACACCCAGGCGCCAAAGTACTGCGCCTGCCACTAAATTTGCACGAAAAGCTCCAAAGTGCCGCGCCTGCCACGAAATTCAACGAAAACGCTCGAAAGTGCTGCGCCTGTCACGCAAAGTAGCTTGCCACAAACTCAAAATCATCCAAGCTGCTGGACCTGCCACGAAGTCCAACTTTGACACTTTTACGACACGCATCCAAAACTAGCAGGGGACTGTGGCGCCAGAATGATTTCGACCAATTTTGACATGCTTCAGGCTCGCCAATACGAGCCGATTGTACGACAGGGCCAACAAAAACGACGCCAGTGCAAACACTATCACGCGCCTGCCAAGCAGCACACCTCAAAGCGACCACCCCTGGATCGCAAATTTCACTGGCACGGCAACGAACACACGCAGCCTTCCAAAACACTTGAGAAGCTACGATTCGCGCACAGGGCCAACGAAAACAGCACATCACAAGTCATCAAAACTCACGCGTTCTGAGCTTCCCCACTGGGAGAGCCATAGCGCAATCATACGAACGGTTGCGGACGGTTGCGGACGGTTGCACAACATCCGGCGAACAAGGCTTCACCCCCAGACCCCCAAGATGAAACGAGAATCCTATGCTACGCATTCGGGAAACACTGTCCTTCCTAAGCGGACTTGGACAAACTAAGGGGGCCAATCCCTGGTTTCGCCAGATGTGTCAAAGAGACGCTCTGAGTCTCTGAAATCACGGGCACCCAAACTTAGTTTTCACCATCTCGTGTCAGAATTCCAGAACTCTTTGATGGTAAGCCTCGTCGTAAGGTCGCTTAGCATGCCTGAAGTTGAGCTGAGTGGGGCCTTTGCATTTTGAGATGTCACCTGACTGTTCGCAGGTTCATGAGAAACGCCCTGCACCCAATAAGTACTGCATAGCGCACTTCCTTCTGTTTTCTGTTCAAGTCCGAGGAGCAAACAACACCGATCCAGACTGGAGGCCCCTGAAAAAGATTGACCTGTAAGTGCAAGAGCAAAGGTTCAGAATCCCGCGTCAGTGAAATTCCTTGGGCTAGAGGGAAGGAAGCACAATTCTAGTCGAAAATGGCCGCAGAAGGCCAACATTGTGACCTTGTTCAAAGGACCATCATTTGCTGGAGGGTGAAACCCTTGAACATTTTCAGAGGCTTTGCCCAAGTGAGATCAATGCCGGTCTTGCGGCATAGACTCGCCGAGCTCGGCCGGCCCCAAAAGTGGAACGCATCAAGCGAGTGACTATTCAGAACACGCAACCCACATGCATTGATTGAAAGCATGTAGTTCCAAGCACGTGCCGCTTTGAACATATTTGCGTGCCATGATCATGATGCCCTTCCTAGGAAGCCGAATGCTTGTTGTCTCAGTCCTTTTCCTCAATCCATGACCATTTCAGGTACAATTGGACCATGGCCTTCTCCCGTCACGGCTGGAATTCTCCACCCGGTCACCCTACTGCAGCCTCCACTTGCTGGGAAGAAAACATGTTTTTCTTCCGTGGAATGTGGATGGCTGCCCCATGCCCTCCCCGCAACCACCATAGAGATTAGTTTACAGACTACTCCACAGACTACTCTGTAGACTACTCCATAAACTAATTACCATAAACTACTCCATAGACTACCAAAATTCCTCACAACTGCTCAACTGCTCAACAAACTAGTCTTGAAAGCACAATAACAAATACTTCACTCCAACGACTCAAAAGTCGCTCGGGGAGTTCGAGCACCGGGCACCACGTTGGAGGACGCCAGCCCGCGATCGCTGGCAGGTACGCCCCCACCTGGTTTGGCGCAAGGCTCCCCCAGGGCGCAGGGAACCGGGGGCTGGCCTGCCGCCCCCCTCCTGTTGCCATGATTCCTTTCAAACAGAAATTCGATTAAACTTGACAACAGATGCATAATCCAGCCGGGAAAAAGGGGCTTAAAAAGGAAGACGGTTCAATCCGAAAATCTTTAGGGGGGGGTGATTTACTTGTACTTGTGTCACGCAAGAGGATCCACAGCAACCTGTGGAAGATGGTGAGGAACTCCCCAAGTTCCACATATCTGTGATGAGTGTTCCAGGATGCATTTCACATGACAAAAGCACCTTCCCGTGTCTGGCGGATCATTCCAATGCCCCGAAGCTGCCTATGACGCGCCCGCGCCCGAGGCCCGCACCAAGTTGCTCGCGGTGCACCTTCTGAGTGGCCTGAGGCTGACTGGAGCTGCATGGCGTGTCCCACTGAAATTCTGGAATGGTTGCAAGGTCGACTGTTTGGGCCCATGGCAACCGAAGAGGAACCGAAAGGCTCCAAGGCACTGGACCAGTCAGTCTTTCGGTGCATCTGACTTTGGCCGAAACATGTGGAGGGAGGGGTGAACTGGGATTTGCGATTCGCCCGCACCTTCTCCAGGCAGGATGATGTCCTGGGTCCCTACCCTGCAACTACAGGAAGTACAAGTACCTTGATATTGGTGGGTCTGTGCACGTGCTCGCTCGAGTTCCATTGTGCCATCAAATCCTGCTGAACGGGTGTGTCTTTTTTTCGGGGGTACGCTTTTTGGGCCGGTTTTAAAAGGTAAATGGTAAACCACCGATTTTGAACGCCCTACTGTGGATGGACAAAATCCTGCACCACCCAAGACACCATGGGAAACCGTTGTTTGTTGGTATTTACAGGGAATGATATCATTCTAGGGTTTCTTAGGTGGTGCAAAAAAATCGTCCATCCACAGTATGCGACACTCCCGAACATTTCAGATCCAGGCGCGAGGCGCCACCCTTTATCTTTGGCAAGTCTTGCTTCGGCTTGGGTGAATGGTAATCATTTTGTACACAATATCCAAAGATCGCCAGGCATGAAATGCCCCCTCTTGACAGCAAAAAAACACTTGGGCTCCGAAAGAAACCCTCACAGCTTGACTCATTTCGGGTTGTGCCATTCCAGGCTCACGTATCGAAAGGCTGTCGTTTGGAGTTCTTCGGCCAACATATCCAAAACCGGCATGGTACCTGGTTTTGACATTCAGCGATTTGCTCTATGTTCACAATTTTCTATGCAGATCATTGTCATGGTTCCCTTCCTCTCAGTCAGCAGTCCATCAATCAAAAGATATGACATAGAAATGCATTTCGAACATAATAAGCAACCATCAAAGAATAGGTAGTGAATACACATATGGGTCCCCACAGGCCACACAGGGAAGACACACAGTTGGGATGGGTCAATGCTCAACCCTGCCTCTGGCCCCAGACCGCTGCAACCCTGTTCCAAATGGGTTCTTTACAAATCACGAACCGACATGCTCTCACAAACTTCCTCCGTAAACGGACGGCCACCTATGAATCTACCAGGCAAATTGAGGGGCAAACCTGGCACCTGGCCCAACATGTGACACTTGAAGCAAGCCTGCTGGGCCCCAAAGGCCGCGCTCGACTCATGTTGTTCCATGCTTTGGCAACATACCAACGTACCAAGCGGTCCAAGAAATGGCTTGCCCAAACTAACGGCTAGTGCCTTTCCGGCGTCCTGTTTGGCAAAGATCCAACTGCTTCAGGCACATCTGCATCGAGTGGTAAATCAGGTCTGGAGAGTCAAAAGACTAGCCATCTTTCGTAGTTTGCTCTCCCCTGTGAAAACACAACATCCATGGGTGATTTGGCATACCGTTATGCGACGCTTGCACCCGGCCAAAGAAATGCGATAGCACTAAAGTGGTCTTGGCTGCATACAGCCAAAGCCGCGAGCCAAAACTCAACATAGATCTCACTCAATCATCACCCCGCCTCAATCAAACTCCCTTGCAAATGGGAACCGAGTGGAAAATATGTCACACCACTTCAAGATATAAATAGGGCTTCAAGCCCCTCCCCCTTTTTGACCCACTCGCCGTCCCCTGCCACCAAGAAGAGAATTATACACTTTCAAGTGCCCCAACCCGCCGAAAACCGGGCTGAGCGTATCGCATCAATTCGCGCGAGGACATCCGGCCAACCGGGCGTGGAGGCGAGGATCTCCCCCACCTGAACAAAAAAGGGTGGCCCCCAGAGACTTGGCCATGGGTCAAAACCCAAATCGTACCCCCAGTGAACATCCCAATCCCCACTAAAATAGGTTCTAACATGGGTGGTGAATTCACCTACCCCAAAAGTGTACCAATGGTTTTGACCCACAGCCACCTCAATGTAGACAATTGGTCTGCAGCGGCGACATGAGGTGATTGCTCCATCAGAGGACATAATTGGCTTAAGAGGCACTGCAGCACCGTGCAGCAGTCACTGCAAGCCGCGAAGAGACAATGTAGGAACGCCAGTAATTCCCTCAAAACTAGCAAGACTAATTGGACAAGAATCATGAGCTCTGGTCATTCCGCAGTTGCGGTATGCCACACTTTACCATGACTGCCGCCGGCCTCAAGGATGCTGTGCAACAAGCTTTTCTGGTCTGGGGCAGCCCAAACGTATAGTAATCGCTGAATGTCTCCAACACAAACAACGCAGCAACCTCAAGAGAGCGATCAGATTGGGCAGCAGGTGGAATGGATGAAGAACAAGCAATAGAGTCGTGAACACTAGACCAGCATCCACTGGATACACACATCGTCGGTTTCTTCAACGATTCAAACCTGGCCCTTGAGCAAACGCCCCCACATGGAGGGCCTCCGGGCACCTGCTGCCATAGTCCTGCAGCTCGCAGCTGAGCAGAAAGAGGTGCCCCATGTAGCCCACGCGCTCGTGCCTGGAGCGGAACCCAAGTCACGCGGGGAAACGAAAGCTCGCCAAAACACGACAAGGGGCATAGGTGTCCTTTTAGGGGAAATAGATGGCCCTGGTAGATGATTAAACCACCAGGTACACCAGTGCCATCTATTTTTCCACCAAAACAACCAAAAAGGACACCTATGACAAGGGGATCACGGAATATCTCTTTCACCAAGTGCAAAGAATGGATCCGCAGATGGTCAAAACCTGCTCCAAATTCAGCCGAGCTGGACTTTTGGTAGGCTCAACAAGCGTATCATTCCGAAAGGGAGCCAGCTGAGGGGAGAAGCAAAGGCTAAACTAAATTGAAACCTGTGTCAGGCCTAATGTAAGTTGAGATCCAAAAAGAAAGACTGTGGTCAGAATCTCTCAGCTGTTCCTGCCGGTATCAAATGCAAGTAGGCCATGTCTGTCATGGCTTCACAGGCCCAGTATGCTGGGTCGGCCTCTGCTTCTTCCACTGAGCGTCGGCCGCGTACTCGGAGACAATCCGTTCCGCCAAGCGCGCCTCCGAAGCCAAAAAAGGCCGAAACATTCAAGGGACGCTTCTACAAAAAGAAACGCTCGTGTGTCAGATGTTGGGCCATCTTGGGGACTCGTTTTTGTCCCGCTTTCCAGGGATTAGGAGCACCAGCATGAAACCGGACCAGAAGCCCCTCCATTTTCTGCATCGCAACAATTTCTGGGGCGAATCTTCCTGGGGCCCTCCGTTCGCCAGGTTTCGCGTGGCCCTTTCGCAAGTGCGGCGCCTCTTTCAGCAGCTGCCGCACTAGTTGCTGCCGCAGGCTGTCTCCGCCAGAGAGCACCTGGAAGGCCAGTGACATTCGTGGCAACCGCTGAAGGGCTGTGTGGCTCAGTAGCACACAGCACCGAACTGCCAAACCAGCAGCGCCAAGCAGGAAGCCACTCGTCATGACATTGCAGAAAGGGCGGCCAAAAGCGCACAAATGATTTCAGGGCTTGCTTTAGATCAGCAAGTGCAACTCTGCAGCATCACAACAGGCCTGGGGACTACGCCTTTGGATGTTCTCAGCTGCAATGTTGCCAACAATCGTGCCAATTACTTTTGAAGGCACGACACTTGTTTTGGATGCAGGCTCTGACACTATAAGAGTCTGAGGAGTCCGAGTCACAGAAGCTTGCAAACAGCTCAAGCGATTGCAAAGGCTGAGTCGGAATACTCCAAACATCGGTGCTCTTTCCAGTGAAATTGATCAGTACCCAAGAAGAAACACATCCCAACATGGGGGGGGGGGGGCTTGAAACACAAGGAAAATCAAAGCAAAGGTTGGGAGAGGTAGGGGAAGCCCCACAGGATTGGCCAACTCGTCAATGAAATACCACCAGGGACATCTGCCAGGGTACTTTGACATCTGAGAAATAAGAACCCTCCTTCTAAATGATTCCCTTGAGTTTTCATGCAGTTCCCCCCGAGATCGGTACGCATAAGGATTTCATGGGTGCTCGTCAAGGACAACCAAACTGCCCGGACGGGAGTAAAGTACAGTTTAGAATCGTCGCAAGTGACGCGCGCGCGCGCAGCCGCCTCAAGCAGCAACTGCTTCACGCTGTTATGCAGCAGGTTGCTCCACGGGTGCCGGAAAAACACCTGGCGTCAGGTTTGAGTTGAGGTCGGAAACGCTTGGACAAAATGATTGCCTGTTGGCTTACCACCCAAAGGGGGGGCGCCACCTTGCCACTTTTTCCGCCAAAGGGCATGCATGTTTTGCTGTGCGAGTAGGCAAAGGGAACTGGATCCCACGACTCCCAAGGAACTGGACCGAGCGATTTGGGATGACGCCTTGCGGGGCACAATATTGTCAAGATTCCGTGCACGGTCAAACTGGTTTTGAGTTATCATTGACAAACTGAAATCTCTACCGCCTACACTGAAACCAGGGTGGAACAATCGCCCTTCTGCGTGTAACAAATGAGGCTTCGTGGCTGAATGATGTGGTCCTACCTGTTCGTGGAGGTTGTTGCCAGTGCGCTCCCAACCTTTGGGAAAGGAGACTCTGCAAAAAGAATCCTTCTAACCTGAGGGAGGTGCTAACCATCAACGATAGAAGCGCCCATTGGCTAAACCATGTGCGTGATTGCGTACAGGCACGCTCGCTCGCACGCACCCACGCACGCACATGTGGATGCATGACAGGTCTGCGCCCACACTCGGCTGGCAGTGGCGAAATCAGAGCTTCTTGTGGGAGGTCTTCTTCAGTGATCTAGAACCTTTGACATGGCAACAATTCTGCTTCGGGCGAATTGATCCAGGCCATTGCAGCTTCCAAGGGCGGTGCGTCAGCCGAGCCGCAAGCAGTGGTCCAACAAAGAAGTTCACTCTGCAAGATTGCAATGTTTCGATTGTTTCCACATGAGAGGAAAGGTCGCTGGTCCACTATGACTACTCTTTTGTGCACTTCTGCCAAATACCTTGCCATGCCTGGGGCGAAAAAGAGTCCCCCGACCGTGACCCACATTGTGTAGTTTATGCGTGCTGCCCACGCCTCAACACATCTGGGTAAGAGCTGATTGCTCAACACAGCTTCCAGGATGACGTCCAAGCCAGACCTGCGCTTGGAGAAGCAGTTTCGATGCTCACTGTGACCAAATCCGATAAACTAAACATGATGAAATGAGTAATCCCAATCAATCTCAGTACACATCGGTATCAATCCTTTCCTCAACGCGCCGCCTACAGAATTCGGATCTGTCCGTCCCCCTTATCTTACCCCTTTTTCCAGACCCAGCAGTCACAACTGTTGTCAATCATGATGTGGGATACACACAGGGTTGACCTGCTAACCCCGGTTTAAACCCAATTGTGGAAGCTCTGTGCAAACGGGTTCCTTTATATGAGGAGTGTGTTTTCCAATTGCCTCGCCCTTCATCCACGTCCAGCAACCAGCACACGCGGCAGGGCAAGACTTCTGAGGCCATCCCTGCTGGTACAGGCAGAGGTGCCACTCAATTCGGAGTGGTTCTTCCCCCGAGCAAAACAACTAAACTTTTGGAGGTTCAATCGAAAGCATCCACGAGTTTTCAAAAGATATACAGGGGCGATTCGGACCCAACGTCCATGTCAGCAGGTCGCATGCGCCTGGCGACTGTGGAGATCAGACTGATCACCTCCAGCGTCGTGCCTGCGTGGCCCACATGGGATTCTGTTTTCTTTTGAGAGTACCCTTTAGAGATGGTTTTGAAGGGAAACGGCGGGTTTAGGGTTTAGGGATATTTTGGGAGGTTCCCAGTTTTTGAGCTAATCCGACACTCAATTGAGTCGCCTCCTCACCGGCGCGACCCCTTTCAAATTGTGAATCCCTGAAATGACCAATACTTGATGTCACTTCATGGACTCCTACCTTACCGCAATTTACCTTGTGGTTGAGCATGGTTTGTTTGCTTGCAATATTTCGGGCATCCCCCGCAAGGGTCAGGCAATCCTGAATCCTGAAAACCCGAGCATGGGGTGGACACGAGCCAAGTGAGGCCAAAGAAACAAATTCAGTAGCAAAGAGACAAGAGTCACAAGGGCGGGCGCCTCAATTCTGGGGGAAACGTCGGTTTGGGCCTGTCTTTAACTCACCATGCCACCAAACATGTGCCAAGGCTTTGACACACGTGCGTGTACGGTTGGGAATGAGGAAGCGCCAGATTAACAATGTGAAACAAGGCGATCCTGATGGGAACGACTCCTGCTGCCTTGCACTTGCCCGGGTTTTAACCGTCCAGGCATTTCCCCCAAAAAAAGGGAGAGCCTGCTCTTTGGCAGCGGTCTGAAAGGGAAACCGAGGCACCTTCATTTCTGTGACACGGCTTCGGGAAATGGAGGCAAGCCCATGTTTCATCTTCCCCCATTCATGTCGGCGCCTCCAGCTGCAGGGATGCTGCCCTGGGGCATCGTCATCTCTTGCGGCGCCTGGCGGTGATCGGAACAGCTCACATGGGAGGGAGGGTACCCCCCGGTGCCTCTTAGTTGGGAGTGCAAACAAGTAGAAACAGGGAGACCAGGCAAGGAAGAACCCCTGTGCCATGATGGTTCCTTTTCCTTCCTTCACCTAAGCTGCCACGCAAACATATATATGTATATATATATATAATCTACCTGTCACTACTGTGGAGGGGCGAAATCCTGCACCACCTAAGAAAACCTGGAATGATGATTCCCCTGTAACTATCAACAAACGTTATGGTTTCAACCGTGGCTTCATTTCGTGGTGCCTCAGAGGATTTCACAACTATCCATAGGCCGTTTCTCTCTGCCAACGCGCCTGGCCTCTTCTAAGCTGTTGTCTAGAAGATCGCGCAGGCGCGGGAAGTGACCTGCCACCTGGCTTGGCAGAAGGAATATGGGTGTGAGGGCTACAAACCCATACCCCACCCCCCCAAATGAGTACCACAGTGGAAATCCACTATATACCGAATCTTTGCGCAAGGAATACATGCGCAGGATGCTTTTAGGGGTAGTGACTTTAGGGGAGGGTCTTAGCTGTCCATGCCATCCAACCGAGGCAGATAGTTGGTGTCATTGTGGTTTACCCCATCCTTGGCACATACACGAGAGATGCAGCCCTCAATACGCATGTGGAACCCAGAAAGGACTGATTTAGACGTTTAATTCACGTGAAAGCATCTTGGAAAACGCGAGTTGAGGAATCTCTTTTCGCAGGATCCACTGGCTAAGGTTCTGAGAAGCTTCTTAGACCTTGCAAGGATCTTGAAAGACTTTCTGGGGGGTGGGGAGGGGTCCCTTGCTCCTGAAAAACTCACAGCGCAGGCTTTCGTGTTAAAGCAGGAGTCGTTAGACATGGCAGACATGTCCTGCTTCTGGCATGTTCTAGATCCTGAGACTTGCCAGCGTGTCTCATCCAGAAAATCATTCAGGGAATTCCTTCTTCCATCCTTCCAATGTAAAAACCGCTCCCCATCCAAGTATATTTGCTACTCCAAAGCCTGCGTGGTCCGAACAAGCTATCCGCAAACTGCAAAACAAATGAGCTCCCCAGCCTCTCGCATCAACGTGGCCCTTCGCCTGTTCGATCCGACGGAACGTTGCAAGGTTTGCTTGCACTGCCAGCGGCGGTCCTGCCTCTTTTAGCTGAACACTTTGTGAGTCATATAAACCCAGCTGTTCCACAACCAGAAAGAATTCAGGAGCGGCATAAATGAAAACACGTGCGTCAGATGCACGTGCATCGATCTATCTCATGCTCTGAACTCGTTGCTGCGGAAGTGCCCTGTTCGAGTATCATCCTTTTGCTTTCTTGACACTCCCTTCACAAACTCCAAATCCCTGTTACACACATTTGAGCAGGTGAGACCTGTGCACTCAACACGTTACTTCCGGCCTCTCCATCCACTCCTCAGATGTTGCACTCCTCAGAGTAGTCTGCGGCCTCAGAGCCCGTTGGGGGGGGGGGGTGGCCATACCATCCATGGCAACGTCATGTTGCGCTGTCTCAACATTGGAGAACTTCAGGATTCTGGATTCTTGAACAAACTCAAAATGAGAACAAATCGGCCCCTGGCCATGCCTTTTCTCATGGGGCCCCGTCAAGCATAGGTGGCCTTTTGGCACATCCGAAGTCACGAGGCAGCGGCGTGGAGGGGGGGGACAAGGCGCCCCTGGATGCCGCAGCCTTCGCCGTTCGCCCGAAAACCGAAACGCGACTTCTTCCGGCCGGCCGGTCATTGAGTCAAGGTTTATATTACAATAGATGTCTTTTTTGGGAGAACAAATAGATGGCCCTGGTAGTTGATTGAACCACCAGGTAAACCAGGGCCCATGTTTCAACCAAAAGGACGCCTATGTATATGAGCCTTATACTGGACAAGGCTTCTCCTTGCCCTTTCTATAGCCCCCATAAAGCTTTTTTCAATCAAATGGGCCATGCCCATGTGACTCCCTTTTGGAACTATGACTCAATTCGTCCAAAGGACCAAAACCACTTGACTGTGGACCCGTGAGGGCCCGAGGGCAAAATGGACAACAAGTTCAACATGTCGGCTGCAGGCAACTGACCTATCCCAACCATGTAAATGTAAATCTCAGTTGCAAGCACGAGATTCTCCCACGTGATGATTCTGGCTATTATTGGCGATTTGCCTTCGGGAGGACAAATACGGGACCACAAACGGACAAGACCAAAGCATCCCACCGGATCGCAACTGGGCAACATGGCCATGAACATCCGAACGTGCAACTCCGAAATGGATCCCTTGCAGGCTTTCAGGTCATATCCCAAGGATACCGAGCTAAAGCGCTGCAACAGCAGGTGGAATCCTTTGGGCTCTTTTTAGAGTCTTGGACAGTCAAAGGCGTCACGCCGTGCAACCTGGAACCAAACACCTCGTTTAGTTGAGGAAACTTGTGGTCCCTCCCCTTTTCGGGTTCCAAGTTCAGTTGCCCTCTCTGAGACACACCGATGGGTGAAAAATGATGCCACTCATCTAATCCTGCGCCATGCTTCGCTTCGGCTGACCCTTTTTCAATCGCAGTCTGCACCTCTGCCACGGCGGGCTCATCCAGGCTCACCACATCTTCCTGAGATGCACTCGAAGCTTTGCATGGTGCAAGCAGAACACATGAAGTCCTTTCCTTTCACCTGGTTGTGGTTGGCTTCCAGTCTCTTTTGGCTTTGGAACATCATAAGCATGAGCGTCATTGGTAGTGGCTCAGTCTGTGACTTGGAGAGAGCTCAATAAGCAAATACATAAAGCCATGAGCTCAAGCCATGCCCTTCCCACCCAGTTTGTTTTCTGGCAGGGCATGTGCAGTTCAGATCTGCAAACATCTCGGGGCCAGGTCAGCGGAGGATAACCTCATTTTCCAGCCATTCAGTCTGGATCGTTGGCATTTCTTTGATCAGGCATTCCCAATAATGCCGGACAAGTACTCGAAGAATGAACATAGAGCTACGTTTCCTGAAAGGGCACAAACCCTCGAGTCATTGACGCTGATTCCTGAGAGGCTGTCCTCATTCATCATCGTGGCGTGCGGTGAGAGTGGAGACAGCGTCGG